CGTGTATGCGCGATCCGGGCATGCGTCCAGTCTGCCCTGTGTAGTTACAAGGACAATTTTGACACGGAATGCGATACACTACTCCAGATTGCTCTTCAGGTTTTAGCTGGTCTTTGATTTTCATGACCCTGCTGCGCATGGTGGCTTTGGGGCGGTGTGCAATTCCAACTTCCAGCTCCGCAGCAATGCGCTCGGTCGCTTCTGAAACATCCTTGATGTATGGCAGGGAATGCCATATCGTCGGTGGCGTTGATGCTCGAGTTCTCTGGTGGCGACCGCGTAGGCAGCGACTTATGAATGCCCTCGGATAGCCATTTTGCACAATCTGGTCGCGTAGATAACGAGCCTCACGTGCTCTGTCCTCCGGTTTGCTGCAATGACTTTGGATTCGTTTGAAGAGCGTCTTCACATAGCTTCGTTTGTGAGCCACCTGATGGTTGCTGTGAAAACTGAGAAGCTGTGTGGTGTTCGTTGCCTTCCTATAAACCGTCGTTTCAAGTTCACCGTTAAGGTTTCGTCTGACGAGCACATCCAGGAAGGGTAACTGCTGTTCCTGTTCTTCTTCCCTCGGGAATTTTATATCAGGGAAGACTGCGTTGAGCAGGCTGTGAAAATGCTGCAGCATGTCCTTCTTTACGATGACGAACGTCTCGTCAACGTAGTGGCGCCAAAAAACCGGTTCATCTTGGAGGAAGGCAATCCAGAGCAAAACAGGCCGAGAATTGATTGAAGCCTGGGCCTCAGATGAGAACTCGGTTAATAGATTTATCGATCTGGCGCCGGCGTACAGAGCCCTTCGTAGTCACCTTCAGTCGTGCGACGTCGGTCGATAATTGGGCCTACGTGCCTTATAACTGTTGCCTGTCCTGTTTCTGCCACTACCTCTGACGATGGACTCCTGTACTAGTCTGAAAGCTCAGGATAATAAACGAAGTGTTCCGGTGCTCGACTCTTCTTCTTCAATTAAAAATTCGCCCGAACTCGTTGAAGGACATCTGAGGAACCACCAAATACAAGTGGCGCAGAGACCGACGACTACATTATGCAACTAGCTTGTAAATCCTAAATATTGGGTTGGATATTTAGATAAAGAAGTCCTCTACAAGATTCTATATGGCAACTGCAGTGCAGTATGTTGCGCTGAAACTGGAAAATCCGTCTCAACACGCCGCACGAACACAAATTGGCAGAAAAGAGGCGAAACCACTTATTATAAGTCGCCGTGCATACAGCAGAAACTGGGCACATACTTGCTTGGAATAAAACGGGCATTATCGGTTTC